CCAGCAGGCTTCTACTCTCTCCATTTCTTTTCTTTCTTTTCTTTTCTCTCTCTTTTTTTTTTTTTTTTTTTTTGAGACGGTGTTAACCAGCCCAAGCTAGTCTCAAACTCTATGTAGCTGAGGGTGACTTTGAACTCTGGATTCTCCCTCTTCCCCTCTCAAGGCTTGGATGACAGGAGCTTGTTAGATATGCAAATTCTTGGGCCTATCCCTCCAGTGGGAACCATGTTGTGGGTCCAGCAGCACCAATTTTAGAATGGCTCTGGGAAATCCTGATGTCCCTGTGGAAAGCCCCTATTGGCTGGGCTGAAGTTTGGACACTGGGCTTTATATAGGCTAGCTCCCCCACCCCCCACAAACCCTGCCCTATAGTTTGTAAACCACCTCCTGCTCTTTGTTGCCTTCATGTTTTTTTAAAATTTGCTTTGAATTTTTTTATATAGTATATTCTGATCAGGGACCCCCTCCCTCATCTACTCCTAAGATCCTCACCTCCCCACCCATTCAATTCTATTTTCTCTCTCTCTCTCTCTTTCTCTCTCAAGCAAACATTGCCTGCAGGTCAATGCTAATAAAAACACACCCATCTGAGATAGACGTTTGCCATTCTGTACTTGATATATCTACGAGCCTTGAGCTTGGGTCACCCAAAAGGGCACCACCTCCTTGAGGAAGAGAAGCCATGGACTGAAGGCCCTGTTCCACAGAGGGTGACGGCTGAGAGCGGCTGTAACCACCCTTCATTCGCCTTCTCTGAGATCGCGCGAGGGAAGCTGGGCAGAGCTCTACTACTTTCTCTGTTGTAGAGCAGGGGTCTGATAAAGAGTTGGTGACCCCATACTTTCCACCCCCACCACGCCCCTTATAAAAGATGCCACGTGAGTGAGCTCTGAAGTCCTCGGAGCATCGTACAGATGCACGTTGTTCACTTCGTGGAAGGCAACAGGGGCGCCCTGGCATGTCTCCACCTTCCTATCCACGGGGCAAGTGTGGACAGAAGTGTGCAGAGGAGAGCAAATGTCCCGTGTAGACCCACTGGAAAGCCGGGAAGAAAGTTAGAGCCCCTGAGACCACAGCCTTCCTTGCGGAGCCCCAACGGCTGTGTTTCATCTGAGAGCTGAGTCATCCCCCACTCTCCTTCCGCTTCTTCCCAAATCCAAGTCCGGCAAAGAGGAGCTCCAGATGGCTCACCCACAAGTAGGTCTTCTTGGAGGCTTCCGGAGGATTAATTAGTCATCGTCAAGACTCTGAAGACCAAATCAGAAGGCAATATGGCAAAGAGGGGGAGAGGGTGGGAGAGAGCCGCCTGCCAACGAGGCGAGCACAGAAGGGCCTGGGGACCACACAGATGGCGTGCCGCTCAGGATGGCCAAGGCACGCTATCGTGGGCACTGACCTGTTGGCGTGCGATGCCCTGGCTGGTGATTGGCATGAGTCATCTGGGAGTTTTCAAACTCAATGAGGCAGGCCAGCCCTGGATTCTGATTTCAGAGATACACTGGAGCCCAGGAGTCAACAAAAGCTTCCTGGATGATTTCAATGTGTGCTCAAGGTGAAAGAATTCTGGGCAGCACTCGCCATTTATTTGAAGTCAAACTTTGTTGTTTGACTAGCTGTGTGATCTGCCTGCCCAGTATCAGAGCACACTGGGCAATCCAACCAGAAAGACCCAAGGATCTGAGGAGCTCAAAGCTTTGAGCTTACAGTTCAGTTCTGCCACTGAGAAGCTGTGTGACCTTGAGGAAGCCCCGAAAGCCTTTCAGGTCTCAGATTCTTCACCCTAAAAACACCAGGGTAATTCATGGTACGGTGACTCATGCCTGTAATTCCCGGACTCTGGAGGCAGAGGCAGGAAGATCCCAGAGACTTCCAGGCCAGCCTGTGCTGCAGAATGAGATCCTGTCTCAAAACAAACAAACCCAAATAAAACATTTCATTACGGGCCTGAGAGATGAAACTAAGGAAACCTGGTTTTACTACCCAGTCTAGGAAGAGCTGAGTTCATGTCAAGGCAGTAACTGTGTCGAGAGTGAGTTCGCCTACACTCCATCCTGAGCCTGCGATGTGGAGGTCCAGCAGGTCCAGCATGGTGGGTTCTGGAGCTTCTCTGTCTGCTGTCTCTCCCAAGATTCCCACAGTCCACGCCCACTGCTTCCGTGGCCTGACCTCTCCTCGTCCACTCCTCTTGTCCCCTGTGTCGCCTCCCCTGTCCATTACCAATTCTCCGGTTATTACGCAGGTCCTCTGTACTGAATCCCCTTAGGAGCCTGACTCTGCTCAAGCCTGAACCCCACCCCTACCCCTTCCACCCCCGCTTCCGAACTCCATACCATCAGTAGAGACAGTTTGGCAGTTTTCCATTGTCTCACACCCTGCTTTTCCCTCAGGTCAAGTCTTGGCCTCCTGGTCTGCTCCTCAGCTGTAGACGCCAAACAAGGGCCATGGCTCCACTCACACCGTTCCCACCAGTGAAGCAACCCACAGAACAGATGCCGAGCTCCCCAGCAGACAGAATCCCAGGCTCCAGAAGAGCAGCCGGTGTCTGAGAGCCTGGAAGGTCCCGGGCCTCAAGACCAGGCTGTTCCCTGCCCTACCATGCTGCCTCCGGACTGGAATGTCACAGAATAGACTTGAAAGTCCACCAGCAGCTAAAGCAGTGGTTCTCAACCGTGGGTCGCAAGTCCTTGGCAAGGTCGAATAACCTTTCACGAGGGTTGCCTGTGGCCATTGGAAAACACATTAGGATTCACAGCGGTAGCAGGATTACAGTTCTGGAGTACCAATCACTGTATGGCTGGGGTCACCACAACGTGAGGAACTGCATTCAGGGGTCACATTGTCAGGAAGGCTGAGAAGCACTGAGCAAGTACTCCTACAGGGTAACTGAGAGAACCCGGAAGTCTCTCTGGCTCAGCCCTCTGAGTCGCGCAGCTTGAAGCAGTTACGTTGTCGATGTGGGGGCTGACCTGGCATAGCCATGAAATTAACATACAGACAGAAGGTCAATTCTAGAGAGAGTGGCTCTGCACCAGGAAGAGAACAGAGCAGGGCCTGGACCACAGGGTTCTAATTCTTACAACTTTGTTGTTGTTGTTAATTTCCTGTGTAATCATCCAACAAGTCACAGAACTTCCCTGGGCTTCTACTTTTCTGTGGATAAAGGAAAAAGGCGACTTTGTTAGTGCTTTTCACATGTGGCTTTGAGAGACTGCTGTGGCGGAGTCTTCATTACAGGGCTGGAGGAAAGGGCCTTTCTCCTGAGGACTGTCCCCATCAAAGCGGGCTGAGGACTGTCCCCATCACTGCGGGCTGAGAACTGTCCCCATCATCACTGCGGGCTGAGGACTGTCCCCATCACTGCGGGCTGAGGGCTGAGGGCTGAGGACTGCCCCCATCATCACTGTGGGCTGAGGACTGTCTCCATTATCACTGCAGGCTGAGGGCTCAGGACTGTTCCCATCACTGAGGGCCGAGGGCTGAGGACTGTTCCCATCACTGAGGGCCGAGGGCTGAGGACTGTCCCCATCACTGAGGGCTGAGGGCTGAGGACTGTCCCCATCAATGTGGGATTCTCTTGTGTCTGTTTGAAGACAGATCTCACTTTGAAGCCCAGAGTGGCCTGGAGATTGCTAGGTAGCACTCAAACTTCCCAGGGCTGGGGTTCCAGGCATGTGCCACCGAGCCCAGCTTCTCTATGGTCACTTGAAGGGACCTGTTTACTATCCAGCTGTGTATCTGGACACTCTACTATGAAGCTGTGGGTCCCCACGCCCCTTCTGTAGGGGTTTGAATCCAGGGCCTTGTGTTGGCTAGGCAACCACTTTCGCACCGAGCCTCCCCAGCCCATGGACATCCTGCAGTTCTGCCTCTTAGCCGCTCCGGGAAACGCCTGAAGAGCACTTTCTGCACTTAGTGCTTACAGAGTGCTGCAAGTGACCAGTGGGATTACCCTGGACTTCATCCACACAACACATTTCCTCCTAATGCATCACCGCTCCCCCTCCCGGGCTTCCTCACATCCTGGTATTGATTCACTGTGCTTGGCAAATGTGTCTCCATTTCCAGTTCTTTCTACCAAGTTTCTCTTTCCCTGAAGAATGAACTGGGCTTGTGGACAATGAGGAGCAGCCGCTAGGAGCTCTACAACGGGGCCACACCCCAAAGCACGTGTTCCCAGGACTCCAGTCCCACCAGGACTGTCCTGTGCCAGGCCATCGGCTGCCTCACTCAACTGGTCTGGGAGAGCAGGAGCAGCTCCACCGACGAGCTTGGCATGGCCTGCAGAGCAAGGCCTGGCGTGCTTCCCGATCAAAGTCATCTGTATTAGAATCGTAAACCTCTCAAACTGTGGCAGGAACTAAATCAAAACCAAGATGTTACGGCCCCAAGGGGAAGAAGAGCTGCTGACTGGACTCTGGGTCAGTAGTCTTCCAGTAGGCCGCGGCAGAAAGGGATTTGAGGAGCCAGAGACACAGGGAGAGAGAGCTGTGGGGATCAAGGCCCAGGGAGAGCTTTGGGATTTCCACGGAAGTCAGGCTAGCTCACGCGAGTGGGGACTGAGGCAGATGGGAGGAGCTGAGTCCTGGCAGCTGCCTGCATTTCACAAGCTGCTGCACTGTGAGGAGGGGCCTATCTTCCAGAGACGCCTCCAGGTAGAGAGATGGTCACCAGTGTCCTTCCAAGGAAGAATTGGGCACCTGGGTGCCGAGAACAGAACCATTTCCCTCCTTCTCTCCATTCCCCATAGGAATGCTGTGGTCCCAATTTGTCGTTTATCACCTTGGCTCACATTTGGGGGGATCTGAAGTAGACATAGCGACTCTCACCTGTAATCCCAGCACTGGAGAGGCCGAGGCGGGAGAATCACCAAAGTTTGAGGTCAGCCTGGCCTACACACCAGGTTTCAGAACACTCCCGTTTGCACAGTATGTTCCTGGCTGGTCAAGATGACACAGTGAGACCTCGTCTCAAAACACCAAAAAAAAAAAAACGGGGGGGGGGGCTGGTGAGATGGTTCAGCGGGTAAAGACGCTTGTTACCAAGTTTGACACCCTGAGCTTAATCGCGGGAACTGCATATCTCCTGCAAGTTGTCCCCTGACCTCCATACCTGCTGTGATGTAGCAGGTCTTTCTTTACATCACTACTTCTCTAGTAAGGACGTGGGGGCCTTTTATTAATTATGAAAGCTTGGCCTCCGCTTAGGCTTGTTCCTAACTAGCTCTTAACACTTAGATTAATCCATTTGTATTAATCTACATTTTGCCATGGGGCTCATTACCTCTCCTCAGTACAGTAGTCTGACTTCCTCCAAATCTGGCTGCTGAATCTTCTACCACAGTTTCTTTCCCAGAGTTCCTCTTTCTCCCCGGAAGTCCCACTTATCTCCCACCTAGCTATTGGCTGTTCAGCTCTTCATTTAACCAATCAGAAGGTGCCTTAAACAGGAGAAGGAAAGAGACATATCTTTATACAGTGTGTAAAAAGATTATTGCAACATCTCTCCCTCAGCAAAACAGTACACACGCCAGCCACAGAACTGCATGAAGGTTGAGTGTGGTAACTGGCTTCATCTTTACCTACAAACAGCCCGCGGCCAGTAGTCACTGAGATAGTTTGTCTTCCATGAGACTAGAAGATCTAGTCACGAAGACTAAATCTTTCACAGCTTCAGACTGAAGGAGGGTTTCCCAGAGAAGGAAGCCCCTTTCCTCCCTGGGCTCATTCTGAAGTAGGTCCTCAGACCTGCTTACCACTTAACTTGACTCTTTCCTGCCATAGCTGTTGGATCCTGAATGGACTCAGACTCTGACTCTGAGCTAGCAGTCAGCTGACTCAACTCACTGACGGTGACCATGGAGCCAATCAAACTAATAGTGAAGGTAATAATGCCACCTGTTGGCTCTCCTCTATATGCTGGGTATTGTTCTGAGAATTTTACAAAGTATTAGCTAATTAAATTGTACTATGGATTCTATATATGTTGTTCAAAGCCCTGTGTGTTGGAAGGATTGGTCCCCAGGGTAAGGAGGAGGTAGAACCCTTGAGAAGTCAGGCCTAGTAGGAGGCAGATAGGTCATTTAGGTCACTGGGGGCACACACCCTTGAAGGACAGTGGAACCCTGGTCCTTTCTCTCTTTCTTTTGTTTCTGACCACAAGGTAAATGGGATTCCTCTGCAGTGTACCATGGTACAGGGCCTTGATATAGGCCCCAAGGCAATGAGTCTACCAAATTATTGACCAAAAATCTCCAAAACTAAGCAAAAAACCCACCACCCTTATTGGTTGATGTTTCTCGGGTGGACATTTTAGTGACTAACACAGACAGCTAACACAAGCAAACCTATGGAGTCAATGCTGCTATTATTAGCAGTATTAGCATTATTACTATTAATTATTACTATTTTATGGGGAACTGAGGCTCAACCTCAAAGCCCTGTGCATGGCAAGCAATCATTTTATACCTCATTTTACAGATGAAGAAACTGAGACCCAGGAATAGAAAGTAAGCTGAGGAGATTATTCAGAGAGTGTTGGTAGAGCCGGGATTCACACCCAGAAGTCTTCCCCGGAGCCTAGAGGCTCATCCACACACAAGCAGCTTTCCCATCCTTCCTTCTTGTCATCTCCCAATGTACAATCAACGTTCCCTGAGCACAGATCTCAACCCAACATGAGGAATGTTGTGATCATTCATTTGGAACCACTTTCCTGTCTGACATACATTCGAGTGGCTGGCTCTTCCAATGGGCCCACTGGCATTGCTGCTTCCATCCTGTGGTGAGGCAGTGGACGGTAGCCAGAGTGTACGGCAGAACAAAACCATTCCTTCCCTGGTCTGGAAGAAAAGAGAGGGGAGGAACCACAATTTCCTTTCAGGGCTTGCCCAAACGACCTGATGACCCCTAGGCCCTATCTCTTAACAGTTCTATTGCTTCCCAGTAGTATGACTTTGGGACCAAGGCTTTGACACATGGGCCTTGGGAAGATATTTGACATCAAACTTGATCAGTGGGTTTGGCGTGAATGGAAGAAGCTTGTTATGGCTTCAGTCCTCACTGTCCTGAAGGCCTGGAAGTCCAGGACCAAGGCACCTAAGATGCAGTGTCCACCGAGGGTCATTTTTCCAGACAGTATCTTCTCCATGTGCCCCTGTGGTGGAAGCATCAACCATGGTCCTGTAGCCTCTTATAATGCTCTTCATTCTAGTTTCAAGGGGCTCTACCTCATGGCAAAGCCACCTCCCAGATGACACCCCAGTGACCTCTGCACCCATCAGTGACTAGATTTCAACATATGACTTTGTGGGGGCGCAGTCGTCTACACCAGAGCAGATCAGCACAGCAGCTGTGAGCTCTCAATCACGGTGCGCTATGTTTGTCACAAGAAGGGGAGAGTGGGTTGTCAAAATCTGAACATGAGCTGGGCACGGTGGCTCATGCCTTTTAATCCCAGCACTTGAGAGGCAGAAACACGTGGACCTCTGTGAGTTCAAGGCCAGCCTGGTTTATGTGGTGAATTCCAGGCAAGCCAGGGTTACATAGTAAGACTCGACTCAAAAAAAAAAAAAATTACGCACTCATGGGAGGAAATCCATGAGATGCTGGCTTCCTGCCATACTTATCTGTAGAGATAAAAAAAAAATCTGGTTAAATGTTTTGAAGCCCTTCTCTTGATTATAATGGTAATTCTGTTCTTATTACAAGGTTATTCTACCTAAATAATTTCTGAAAACCCCAAGAGATGGTTCCATGACCATGGTCACAAAACCCTTTCTTCCACTTGTTTCCAAAGTCCATTCTACTTCCGTCAGGGCAGCTGCGGTGATGCTGGTCAAGACTTCAGTCCTTGATGGACCAAAGAGAGACAGAGGCTGACACTGCCTCTCTAAGCACATCCCTGTGCTGTGGCGGTGTGTGGCGGTGTGTGGCAGTGTGTGGCGGTGTGTGGCGGTGTGTGGCGGTGTGTGGCAGTGTGTGGCAGGTGTGTGGCGGTGTGTGACGGTGTGTGGCGGTGTGTGGCGGTGTGTGGCAGGTGTGTGGCAGGTGTGTGGCGGTGTGTGACGGTGTGTGGCGGTGTGTGGC